CAAGCAGAGGTTGTGGGGAATGATCGTTACCTTTTTATATATGGTCCGTTTTTTTTTTTTGTTCTGATCCCCGTCGGTGGCCGCGGAGCTTCTCTGGCTAATGGATACTGCCTGGCCAATTTGATACTGTCTTTTTTGCCACCGATAGGGATCTGCTTGGAGATTATTTCTTTTAACGAGGACATTATTACCCTCCTGTACAGGCCCCGCGGCGGTGGGGAAAAGTTTTTAACGCATTGTTTTAATATAGCAGACCATCCTACATAGCCGCCAAGAGAAGGTTCCATTTCCGCCCACGTGGGCGGAATGGAACCTTCTCCCGACCTTCTCACTGCCTGCATAGGAGGTTAGGACATTATGCCCATCGCTCTAACTGCACTGAATGCTTTTTTTCTGGGTTTCAACTGCAACACGTTTACGCTATTCTCTAGGCAGAGGTGTCGGTAGGGGGTTTTGGAGTGGCTAAAACTGATGGCCAGGATTTTTAGCGCTGTAATCCCTCGATGATGGGATTGAAGGTCAAAATCGCGGCGGACTCCCTGCCCTCGATCGAAACATCTTTAGCGTTAGGAAAAAAAAGATATTTTTTCGGTGTTTAAAGTTCACGGTTGAAACAATACTTCAGTACGTATACGACAGTACATTTACAGTGCCATCAGTGCCTTTACTCTTGGTTTCAATATGCCTCTTATTGTGGCATTGCAAAGTATATTGTATAGTACACAATTTTGGCCAGTATGGGGGCTATTGATGCATGTCTTCCACTGTTGTCTTGTCTAGTCAAATGCAGAAGCACGGCGTGGTTCTTGTTATGGCAACATCAGAGAAGAGGGATCAAATAGCGTGTTTATTAAGGCCGTGTTTAAGTGAAGTCACCCAAACCGCGATTCGGGTAACTCACATTCCTCACGTCTGGTCCACGTGCCACACACTCCTGTGAAACCGTGTCCGATCACAATTCGCTTGAGCTACATTTATTGTTGTTTGATGAAAACACGCAAGGTAGCGTGTTATCAATGTCAGAGGTCAACGACCTGCCCCCCTCCCAGCGTATCTCGGATGTCCAACCTCGTCAGCTTGTGTGAAGGGCAGACACCACATTTGCGTTGCGCAGTAGATTGTAGTGCCTAGTTAATACCTTTGAAAACCTTTTTTTCTCTTAAAATTTTTGGTCCATTTTGGAGATTTTTGGGCTGGAAGGCACAGGTAGGGTCTAAACTTTCCTACATTGGTCAAGTTTTGTTTATTTCACCAGTTTAGTGGGCGTAGTGAGAGATGTGAGTGGTTAGGTCTTGTCTGGCCAGGCGGATGGATACCATGGAAAATGTAGGTCAAAGTTGAGGTTTTTTTTACTATCATCAGCTGTGGCGGGAATTTGAGATGGTCAACCCCCTGTTTCCTTTCTATTTTTGGGAATCAGACCCTTGTTGCTACCTGGCGCAGAAAAATTTTTGAGATTGGAGTATGGGCAAGTACTTTCATGAGGTGTTGAAATAGTGTATTTAAGCATGTGTTCCTATGGCAAGATCTAATAGTACTGTCTGCCCTGAAGGAAGCTTCCCGTGAGCCGGTATCCAGACTGGCTGGATTTATACTTGCTTCGGAGAGATCGTCCATGGTGAACGACGTAGGCCGAGTTGGAGAAGAGAGTTGATTTTTTTCGTCCGTGGGTTCCACAGCTCTTGACGATATGGCGACTGTTTGTGGTTCTGATGTACAGATGCGGTGTTACCGAGCTATATAGTGGTCTTATACAGTTTGATGTATACATGAGAGTTAGCTTTGTTTGGTTTGTGTTTGCCGATTAGCCTTAGTTTGTTCTTGTTCTCAAGAAGTTGTTTCAGTCTCAGGATTGGGTTAGATTAGGCAATTGATGTGTTTTTCTGGATTACATTTTCAAGAATACCTGTCGAATGAACCCCTACTTCAAGTTCAACATTTTGATAAAACAGTGGATTTGGAGCCGAAAAGGACGGTCCGTTTTAGTGTAAACCCCTACTACAAGACGAGCTTATCAGACATTCAGCCAACACTGGTGATTGTCTGCGTTTTTTTTTAAGGTTTGCCCTTGACATTGCAATTCTGTTTTCCATCTCTCCAGATATTCGGTTTTGTGACACTGTGAAAAGTAACAACATTCTTTCGATGTCAGTTCCTACGACCAGAGACATCTCTATACATGATGTCCAAATGAATAATAAACCGGTGGAAGTACCAACTACGTATACTATTAAAGTACATTATGCCGACTCCAGAACAGAAAATAGTCATGCCCTCAAATACCAGAGTGTTAATCTACCAACGATCGAGGTCTTCAAAGGTCATTGTCTAGAACTATCGTAGAATGAAAGTCATTGCCAGCAAGAATAGGGACATCATCACTAGCACTGTAAATGTACTGCCGTGCTTAAGTATTGTTTCAACCATGAACTTTAAACACCGCAAAAATATCCTTTCCTAACGCGAAAATTACCCCCCGTGAACATAAATGAACTTACAGTAGCTTGGGGGGAGGGCCTGGGGAATTTTCTTGGACTCGACTCCCACGCACCGGCCTCCGTCCGGTAAATAATGAACGGTCCCTAAGAACCTGCTAATACAATCTGCAGACTTCCTGACAGAAGTCCCCAGAGGTGACACTGTAAAATTTATAGTCTGACTCACAGTAGAAGTGGTTACGTGGCGGATCAGCGCTGAAACATCGCTGAGATATCTTCCGAATTGTGCTTCGAAGGTGAGAATATGTTCACTGTACACAAATTCTAGATCTCTGAGAAAGGTCTGCCACGCTACGTAGCTACAGTTTATCACTTATAGCGCATGACGGGGAGTCTCCAGAAACACACGTGCTAATAGGGCTGCTATCTCCGAGTTTGATCAATTGAAAGGACTAGTCTAAGAACAGTTTAACCCTACCTAGACCGGGGGGGGGGCTAAAAGTGCCCGCAGCAACTTTGATGTCACCTAGCGTCTGAACGGCTAGCCGTAGAACGGCCAAACTTGGTGACTTTTCCTAGAATATTGTTGGCAACAATTCTCTATCATTGGAATAAGATAATAATTTTTTGTGTTGCCATGGCAACGGGTTACTGACAGGCATTTTTTGCTAAATTTAGTACTTTTTGTTTCAACAATAGAATTTTATGGATTTTATGTCAAGTTACTCATGGTTTCTAATATTAATAACATCCCATATAATTCTATGTAAATTTTATCATTAAATATGCATAATTTATGCTAATTTGACGACGTCATTGGCCAAAATCCAAGATGGCGGACCATATCATTAGAACAGGTATATACAGGTTATTTTCATTAAAATTTCATCAATACTTCCATTTCTTTTTCCAAAAAAGGTTTAAATGAAGGTCTTAAGTATGTTTACAATGTATTTTAGGCTTTATCATGAAAAAAAAACTATTTTTGAAAATTCAAGATTGATGATCCAAGATATCTTGGCGGATATCTTAAATATGCATGACGTCATTTTATGACGTCGCCGGTGTTGCTATGGGCAACATATGACTTAGTACACCATAATATTCTGTCATAAACACTTTTGGTACAGTTATGTTGAATACCAATTTTGGAGTGGCTAAAACTGATGGCCAGGATTTTTAGCGCTGTAATCCCTCGATGATGGGATTGAAGGTTAAAATCACGGCGGACTACCTGCCCTCGACCGAAACATCTGCCTGGAGATTACGTTTACGCTACGAATTGCGCAGCAAGTGGTTCGAGGTTAGGCCACACCAAATTAATTTTATGGATGACATCCGCGCGCGCATTGATTTTCGCCTGTTCTCAAAAAAAAGAAGAAAAAAAGATCACGTCCTCGGAGGCTCTAGGCCTGGGTAGTCAGTCCATGGTAGCTAGCGACAATACGGAGCCGGTGGTAACTCTGGAGGATGGCACCTAGATCACCGAAGCTCCTCGACGGCAAGAACTCAGTACATACGCACAGTGCCGATTTATAAATTCCACAGAAAAGCAAGCATGTGCGGGCTTGTTGCATACGTCGCTATGTACTGCCGCAAATTCACAATACTAGCTTTGTATTCCTGTGGTTTAGCATTTTTATTTTTGGCCGGAATTTTTTTATTCGCCTGCGCGCAGTAGTTTGGGGGTCTTCAGAGGATGCCATCCATAAAATCAAGTCGTTGTGGCCTGTTCCATATGACCAAACAAATAACCTATAGAAACGGCACTCCTTTGCGCACTACAATAGCTAAGCGTAACACCTTACATATTATACATACTTAGGGTCTTATCTGATAAGTTTGTCACAACAGAACAACAGAAAGCCACAGGATATTAAGCTTAGGCTTCCCGTATTGGCGGGATCTTATCTTGACCGGCTTGTTGTATACATTCCTATGTACTGCCGTAAATTCACAACACCAGCTTTGTATTCCTGTGCTGTGATGTAGTAGCATTTTTATTTTTGGCCGGATTTTTCCTTTATTCGCCCGCGCGCACTAGTTTGGGGGACTTCAGAGGATGTCATCCATAACATTTAAGTCGGTGTGGCCTAATCTATGGTAGGTGAAACATCAACAGATACCAAATATGCAAATAATTACCAAATTTGCATAATGTGGACATTCTGTGATTTGTTAATAGTGAATGATGGGAATTTAAAACCTTGTGCAAGTTACTTAAAGCTTAACATCACTATGCATATACTAGTATTATGTTAAAATACAGGTCATTTGCATAATTAATGAGGACATGTTAACATGTAACATTGCCAATGGATAGGGAGCACACATGCAAAAATATTGTAATTTAGTTTAGAAAACCATCAATTAAAGTAGATTATGTTAATTACAACCTTATTTCCATAATCAATGAGACAAATTCCCCCAAACATAAACTCTGCATATTTCACGGAGGTATGGAATCTCAGAAGTCTTGTTTGCTGTTAGGTTCGTTCACCGCCACACCCATGTCAGAGGTGACACTGTAAGATTTAGTCTGACTCACAGTAGAAAGACGGGTTGGCGGAATTCGAAAAGGCTGGGTAGCCCGCAGGCCACCATTTCAGCCAGTATAAACTTATCCGCGAACCTGTAGAAAGACAACTTACGCTGCATTTCAGGCAGACCATCGAAGTGATTACGTGGCGGATCAGCGCTGAAACATAGCTAAGATATCTTCCGAATTGTGCTTCGAAGGTGAGAATATGTTCACTGTACACAAATTCTAGATCTCTGAGAAAGGTCTGCCACGCTACGTAGCTACAATTTATCACTTACAGCGCATGACGAGGAGTCATGCCGCCCCACTGTTCTCTCAACGGACAAACTCCCTTGGCATGCTTATCTCTCTATTTTGGCCGATTTCTACTCTTTCCAGCCGCCTCCTCAAGCCTGGTAGAGGCTAGGGAGTCTCCAGAAACACATGTGCTATCTCTGTTTGATCAATTGAAAGGACTAGACTAGACTAGACAGTTTAAGTCACAAAGACTTTCTTTTAAGAGGGCCTGCAAGGGGGGGTAGTGATTACGAATTAGGCAAAATTTTCGCCGCCTATTACGAATTACGTTAAAGTCTCAGAGCTGATTACGACTTAACGATTTGTGGCTAATGTCCAATTACGAATTACGTTGATTTTTGCGGAGGCTGCCTACGAATTACGAAGTCTAAAACGGCTTGATTACGCGTTACGAAAAAGGGCTTGCAGGCCCTCTTTTAACGAGGACATTATGCCCATCGCTCTAACTGCACTGAATGCTTTTTTTCTGGGTTTCAACTGCAACACGTTTACGCTATTCTTTAGGCAGAGGTGTCGGTAGGGGGTTTTGGAGTGCATTAAGTTTTCAGGGAATAACCTATCTAGACGGTTTTGGCCAATAAAATCACATTAATGACGTCATATTACGTCATAACGACATAAAATTGTAGGTATGATAAACTTTTACTAGTACACCATCCTCTGAAAATTTGGTGGTCATAAGACATACCATTCTCAAGTTCTGAGGGGGGGTCAAATGAGCCCCCCCCCCGGTCCCACCAAGCCCAAAAAAGCCCGGTCTAGATAGGGTTAATGCATACGAATACAATTGCAGGTTGCAGAAGACATGTCGAAGGAAGACCACAAGATGAGGCAGTTTATCATATGTAAGTACACATGCTTGAAGTTACACATTGTTTTTAACCAATAAAATTGCTTCTTACCTAACTTTCTTGCTTCGCTTACCATGAAAAAAAAATTACGGTCTAAATTTTCTTGATCTAGGTTTCCTGTCATATGTGAAACGTTATTAAATAAGAGGGATATGTTCTGTTCTTAGTTGAATATTCAAATTTAGAACTGCAGGTTCATTGCAAGCTGTTGCTCGAGTTCCTATATCTAGCACCCACAAGAAGATAATGGATAGGCAGGCATTGGTACTATAATATAGAAAGTTTTATTGCAAATTCATGCCCGAAGGCTAATTGCATGAACAGAAGAAACATTTGTACAAAACAGGTAATAAGTACACATAGAACTACTGATAACTATTAATATAATCGTAAACAAGACTGGCAATGAAAACATACATTGCCATGGCGACGGTGGTTCATGTTAGGGTTATTGTTTGCATGGCACTGCCATCATTTCATGATTTTGAGCAAGATACAGTGCACTCCTCCCCCGAGTGTATAGTGAACGAGCGCCGGGGTCACAGAAAGTAGGGCCATCCGTGGCAGACTGGTCTTCCCAAGGGTTTCCAGGAATGTGGGCATAGATGTGGGTCAGGGAAATGCCTGTGGACATTCCATTCCTGTGTACAAAATGCCTGTACAATTCCTAGAATTCTTGCGAATTGCACACAATACTGTACCATTAGGCTCCTCCCTGAGACGTCGCCAAAAACCTGACTGTGTCGTTTATTAGCATATCATTATGTCAGTCATTTGTTAAGACACCTATATACCAAAACATCGTGGTGATCTGTCAACTGCAGGAGATATAAAGTTTGTTTGTTTGTTTGTTTGTTTGTTTATTTGTTTGTTTATTTATCCAGTAGAACACATGTCGCCTGATGGCGATTTTCAAAGGTTCCTGGGGGGAAATCCCCAAACAAAAGCCATTAACAAAATGAACTCAAGATTAACAAAAGTATCAAATAACGCTGGTTACAAATTCGCTTCAAACGTTTAAAAATTCAATTCAAACGTTCCAAATGCTGAAACAAATTGGCGCATGCTGTTAACGTTTAAAAATGTGTGGTTTATTGATGAATAACCTTTTAAAAAAAATGAAAATTGTGAGTTACACACTAGTTATAAGTTGATTATTTTTTTATTCCCAGACCGCCATGTAGAAAAGATCTACACTGAGTTGAAAGAGGTGAGTACATTTATCACCTTTTTAGTTATCTTCCCAGTTCTTTAAAAAAAATTTATTTTTTTTAACGCCGCCGCATCAGAAGCCTGAGAAGGAGGCTACTATTTACAGAGGTATCAGTCTTATAAAATGATTACTGGTATACATTTACAGTTGTGATCGGTCAACAATACTTTGCTTCTTCAACTAAAAATTTTAATGATGTTCGCAAGTTCTAATTTGCTCGAAAATGTCCAGTTGCCACCACATGTACGAGCAGCCCAGTCACTGGGAACATTTATTATTTCTTTTGTCTCATTTGTAAATACGTGACCCCGCCCTCACCCTTGAAAAGCGGTCGTATGTTTACTGATCGCAAGTTTAAATAAAGGCTTACTACTACTACTACTGCTACTACTACTACTACTACTACTACTACTACTACTGCTACTACTACTACTTCTACTGCTGCTGCTGCTGCTGCTACTGCTACTACTACTACTACTACTACTACTACTGCTGCTGCTGCTGCTACTACTACTACTACTACTTCTACTACTACTACTACTACTACTATTACTACTAATACTGCTACTACTACTACTGCTACTGCTGCTGTTGCTACTACTACTACTACTACTACTACTACTACTACTACTACTACTACTACTACTTTAATGATCCAACATGGCGGCCAGTGCTTACGTCATAGTCACGTGAGTGTAAATATTGTCCTACTAACAGAGTCATGTCGTTCTGTCCCAGCTTGGTTACCATGACAACGACCCCCTGGAGGTGACTGACCTGACCAAGTTGGACCAGTGGCACTACTGCGGCACGGATGCCGTGGACGCCGTCATCAAGCTACTGGACATCAGGTGAAATCCCAGTCACACGTTTAGGTAGCCTCTACCAGGCACCGCGGATCGCTGGAAAAATAGTAGAATTTGGCCGAAATAAAGGGATAGTATACCAGAGAAGATCCAGGGCCGTGGGTCACAAACTGGAGCTTCTATGGCCCTGGATCTTCTCTGGTATACTATCCCTTTATTTCGGCCAATTTCTACAATTTTTCCAGCGATCCGCGGTGCCTGGTAGAGGCTAACGTTTAGGACCTTCCCACGATTTTTCTCCCGGCCACTCCCTAAGGCCGAGGTCACAATTCCCACACGGGGCCCGAAAAGAAGCGTTTTCGTTTTTTTTTTTCAAAATCAGGCGAAAATCAATGCGCGCACTGATCCATAAAAATTACTTGCTGTGGCCTTAGCCTCCGGGCATGAATTTGCAATAAACTTCTCTTTATCAAACAGGGAAGGTGCGCGGGTACTGGACGTGGGGGCCGGCATTGGGGGTCCGTCTCGGTACCTGGCGCACAAAACCAAGTGTCACGTGACGGCCGCCGAACTCCTTCCCGACAACCACCGCGTGGGACAAGACCTGACGTCACGCTGTGGCATGACGGGAAGCGTGAAGCACGTGTGTGGTGACATCCTCACTACTGAGCTGGGTAGGCGTCACAAAGCTATCTATATAATCTGTAGTATGGATTATTTTATTGCAGGTCTCGTAATCAACATTTCTTCCTATTGTTTCAGCACTGTCCCACAAATGAATTTCAATTGCTTTTCCCGAAGTGGGGATGAACTGTCCTAACTTGTTTATTGGGAAGTATTGTATGGCTTCAACTTGAAGTCAACTTTATTTTGTTTATGTTCACTTCCAGGCGCACTATCATTGCAAAGTAAACAGGAAATTCGGGCTTTTGGCATTTTCAGATCCAAAGAAGGGCTGACATTCTCATGTTGATTATTTTTCTATTGTCCCCAAATTAAATGTCCCAAAGTCCCTTTTTAGTTAACGCAGCTGAAATTTTAGTGGTCAGTGGCCATCGGACCACCTTTAATTTCGAGCCCTGTTACTGTGCTATTTGGATGTTTCGATTGACTTGATATGTGTAGGAATATAATAAAGTTATGCCTGCAATGACCTTCAATGTCCTGGTAGGTAAGCAGGAGTTTGATCACGTGATCAGCTTCCAGGTGATCCTCTACGTGCCGGAAAAGCCTCGGCTGTTCCGTCAGCTGTACGCCTCCCTCAAACCCGGAGGGACCCTGTAAGTATTTCACAACGATCCGAAGGGCAAAGATTATTATGTTTACCAAAGGAAAACATATTGTTTTTGCTCAGTTTCTTCCTGTTCTTCTTCTCCAAACACTAACCTCTGACCTGACCAATGACATGATTTGTTGACGTCTGTCACCATGGTGACTGGTGTTGGGTTACAAAATGTTGCAATTTCATGGTTTGCTCTTCTCCTGTCACCATAGTAGTACACGTATGTGAATGTGTTTGAGTAAGAATTAACAGAGCAGACCATGTGCAAAGGTAAACATTATGCATTTTATGCATTTGCTTTGAAAATGTTACTTCTCTAGTTGTAGCTAGCTTGATAAGCACCCTAGCGTTACCTCCCCGGTATCTCTACGGGGCTGTAGTGTTCCCCGCCCGCCGAAGTCGATTAGCACATGCCGGATAAATTTTACGGTGTTAACGTTGGTTTCAATCACACTTGCAAGCTGTCACGTCAGAACTACTACTAAATATAATAGATGACAAATAAATTTAAAGAAATACTAATAATAGCCCGGAGGGGATAAAATACAGTTCCTACGCTCTTAACTTCCAGCTTTAACAGCACGTAGGCAGAACGTACTGCACCTGCACGAAAACCGTAATGTATTGTACATGGCACTTAGGCAGAACGTCTCATATAATAAAGTCTTTTTGCGTATATAAGGTTAACATTAAGCTGGTGTGTTACGCCGAAAGGCGGTTATACCGGCTATACAGATACAGATACAGAACATTCCGTCGGTAAAATTCCGATGCAACGTTGACCAAAAATTCAACGAAAACCGCGAAAAAATCCGGGTTTCGCGTAAGCGCAGTATGTTCTGGTTTAAGCAACCAGCATGGCGGACAGTAATGACGTCATAGTCACGTGAGTGCAAAACCGTATTTGTTAGATGTTTCGAGGAGTTCTACCGCCTGAGGGATGTTGAGAGTGACGAGGAGAAGGCGGCGCTGAAGTACTTCCTCCTGTCCGACATCGCTCTGCCGACCCAGCAGGACTACAGGAAGCTGTTGGAAGAGGCCGGATTCCAAGTCACGGTGATGATTTTCTCTTTTGGCCACAGCAAGTAAATTTTATGGATGACATGCGTTAGAGTAGGAATTAACAGAGCAAACCATATGCAAAGGTTAACATTATGCATTTGCTTTGCAAATGCTACCTTTCTATTTTACTTTGTCTTTGGATTGTCTAGTTGATATGGAGATTTACTAACTAAATGTTGCCGTTAATTGTAGGTCCACGACATTTCGGACTCGTACAGCGAGTACACATACAAGCGGTGGTCGAAGTTTGAGGAGCCGGAGGAGCGCAGCAAGCACGTCCGTCTGTACGGGGAGGACCTGGTGGACGGCTGGCGTCAGCTCTACGTCACCGCCAAGAAGCTGTGCAACGACTTCGGGCTGATGGGAGCGGGGCGCTTCGTCGCTCGTAAGGTGTAACGCCACCCCTATGTCAGGCAGTTGGTTTAGCCCACTACGTTTAGTTGTGACCGCGTTATCACGTGACTCCTGTCCGCCATCTTTGTTTCCCTTGGTTCTGGCTGCCAAGAAACAGTTATTCAAGCAACTAGATATGATTTTGAAAATTTGATTCTGGTATGGACACAGTACAGACATCTTTGCACATTTTCGGCATGTTAACCACTGCAACAAAGGAAACATTTTTTTTTTCAAAATCAAGGCAAAAATTAATGCGTGCGCTGATGTCATCCATAAAAATTACTTGCTGTCGCCTTATGCACAAATCAAAAGGATAAAGATATTCCCGACTCTCCTAAGGCATTAGCTGTCAAGCTTCCAAGGACCTGAATAGTGTAGACTAATGGTTTCTCTCACCTTTTATGATTTCTTTTGGACTGGGGAAACAACTGGCTAGTTGGGTAACTCTGGCTGTACATCTTTTACAGCAAAACCAACAAGTAAATAAACAAATACCGTGGCGTTTCAAACATTTAATGTCTAATGTTCTCGTATTATTCTTTCTTTTACATTAATTTCCAAGCAGATGTAGAGATGGAAGATCACAACGCTACATACACTATTAAGCAATACAACTAGATAATTAAACAAGAGAAAATTGAATGCAAAAGTACGTGGAACTTTGCAACTTTATTTCGCTCGTTACCTTTTTACGTCTTTTGTGAGCAAAGCAAGTCAAGCTTTGAAGCCACAGTTTGGCAAAATGTTACGCGATGAAACTGTTAAAGCTGCGTGGTGAAACTTCAGCAACAGATGCAGGTGTGGCCAGCGGAGCCGTCCTCCCTGCAGTTACAATCGGGACCGCAAGAGGTCGACGTGCAGTGAATCCCAGGCTCCCAACAGACGCTATATGTAAACAAAAAGTTGGTCATTCCTGGTGTTTTAACCCTATCTAGACCGGGGTGGGTGGCGCCAACTTTGATGTATGATAGCGTCTGAACGACTTGCGCTAGAACCACCAAACTTTGTGACTTTGCCTAAAATATTGTTGGCAACAATTTTCTATCAGTCAAATCATAATGGCGTCATTTGTGCCCCCCTCCCCGAAACGTCTAAAT